TCCCGCGCCACTCGCGCGGGGCCGCCCTGGCGCGCCCGGCCCAGCCAGCCAGGCAGGCGGCGCTGGCGCGCTTCCCGGGCAGGGGCCCCCGCGAGGCCGCCCCGCTGCGGAGCCCGCGCCCCTTCCCGCGGCCGCGCCGTTCTCCCGACGGGCGCAGGCGGGGGCCCCGCGAGTTCCCCCGGAGGCGGGCTGAGAGAAGCCGCTCACCTGTCGGCGTCAGCCAGAGGCCATGGGAGGCGGCGTTCCCGGCACGGGCGCAGCGGGAAGGGGGCTCCGGCCGGAGGGCTGCCGGCGGGGGGGCACCTGTCGGGGAAGGAGCGGGCGACGGCGCTGCCGCGCGTCCGTGCCCGAGCGAGCGGCAGGCCCAGGCCTAGGCTTGGCCGGACTCACCCGTGCCTTTCAGCCTCTGCACCATGTAAACAGAAGCCTCCTGCTTTGGGAATCCCAAGCTGCCCAACCTGAAGTGGAGCGGGGGGGGCAGAAATCGAAAACGGGGTCATTGCCCGGGAAGGGGCGCATGAGTGGAAAGGGCTGAGCCCCCGCGCCCTCTCTGCCCTCCTGCTCCGCTGTGTGGGACCCTTTCCCTTGGGCTGCGATTCCACTCCAGAGAGTGATCCAGGTGGGGAGGAAAGCACAGTGCCTGAGCGGATGGTGCTCGGCCTACGCACCCTGCCAAATCCCGGCGGGTGCTCCGATTTTCACGCCGGGAACGGTGTGCCCCAGCCACCCTGTGGCCTCATGTGCTGCTCCCAAAGCTCTCCGGCTTTTTGGAAGTGGTTTGCGAGGGGAAAGAGGACCCCCATGGGTGGCGAAGCTCCCCCATCTGAAAGGTCGCTGCGGAGGTTCCACCCACACTGCAGTTGTGGCTTCATGGGGAAATAGTTCCGCTTTTCCCCAAAGGCAACTGGCTTCATAATCCAAACCACATGAGCAGTTCGATCTGGGGGTGCCCCGCATTTCTTTTAGTCCTTTCAGAAACGTTGGTTTCCCCCATGTGGGTGTGATGTAGAGCAAAAATCCAGAAGCTGAGGTTGCTGAAGTAGGCATTAGGGCTGCCCAGCAGGAAGGGAGGGGTGGGTGGCAGGAGGAAGTGCCTGGAAAAGGGCTGATTGGCAGCAGGGGGGCTCAAGGGAGGCACTTCCCACCACAGTTGCGGAGAAGTGATAGAAAGAACACACCCCAAAGAAATGGGAACGCTTTGGGGAAACACGCCCATGTACGTGCTCACAGTGGCTCTTTAATGAGAGTCTGAAGTACACTTTGGAGTGCCCAAAATTGCTTTGGGCTTGCTTTATTGCTCAGTTCTCTCTTCATTATTTAAAAAACTCCATTCCTTCCTTCATTCTCACAGTGCTGATTTCATAGTGAATTTGTTGATTTCCTTTCCATTTCGCATTGATTTCCATGGGAGATTCTGCTGCCTGTAACTTCAGTATTTTCTGCTCCAACGACATGCACCGTTCGTCCTTCACGGCTCGCCTTTCGAGGAATTGGATCTGCCAAATTTTAAACAGCCCAGGAAACGTTAATTGGATCTCATGGGAAGAGTTGTGAGCATTGAACACTGAATTAGGACAGTGCCCAGCAGGCACAAGAACTTGCGTACAATCTGCGTTGTTCCCTTTCACACAACATGCATGTGTGCACTTGGGAAATGGGTGCAGGAGCACGGGAAGGGAAGGGAAGGGAAGGGAAGGGAAGGGAAGGGAAGGGAAGCTTGGCTGGATCAGGCCAGGTTCATCCAGTTCAGCACTCCATACACCCAGTAGCGAGTGGGCTGCCCCCAGGACCCCCAGCGGGATGGGTGCAAGACCTCCCCCCATCCAAGTTCTTGAGCAACTGGTTATGCATGCATGCCCCCTCTGGAAAAGCAGGTTGCCCACGGCCAGCAAGGCTAGTAGCCACGGATCTCCTCCTCCCGCCTGAATCTGTCCAGTCGCTTTTTCAAAACCATCCAGAGTGATGACCTCACCACTCCCTGTGGCAGCAAATCCTATACTTCAGCTGTACGCTGTGTGAGGGACTCCTTTGATCTGTCCTAAGCCCCCCGCCAGCTGGCTTCATGGGGTGGCCCCCGGTTCGAGTGCTTTGCAAGAGGGAGAAAAATGTTTCCTTTTCCGCTTTCTCTATACCATGCATATTCGCAGGTACCTCTGCCGTGCCTCCCCTTTGCATCTTGTTTCTAAGCTAGACAGTCCCAGTTGTTGTAACCCCTCCTTGCAGGGTAGTTGCTGGATCCATTCATTGCTTTAGTTGCCCTTCCTCACTTCACGGAAACAGAGAAACACAGCAAGTCAGAAGGGGCTCGCGGGCCATCTAGTCTGACCCCCGGCTCCAGCCGGCTCCGCTCACGACATGCCCACCATGTGCACGTCCAGCCTGTCCTTGAACACCCGCACCGATGGGGCCTCAACGACCTCCCGTGGGAGCCCATTCCACACCCTCGGGGTCCTAACCACTAGGAAGTACTTCCTGGCACCCAGCCTGGCAGCGTGTCTGTGTGGGGAGAAGATACTTGAGCTGGGATTTCTGGCTAAAATTCAGAAGGCTGCCCTGGCATTTTGGTTCCCAAATCACAATTTTTAAGAGAACCATTGCTGTATGTTTTACACTGTGTTTTTCTTTGAAAATAAGTTTGTTGGTAGAGCTGAAACAAGCCAGATATTCCCAGTACCCCCCAGTTGCTTGCTTGCTTCACCTGAACAGGTGTGTCTGTGACTCATCAGATCAAGAGGGAATTGGACAGACCCCACTGAGACAGTTTTTAAAACCCCTGCTGCGTTTTCTGAGCTTCTGGAACTGGTTTATGGGCTGTGGCCCCTGAAGCAACCTCAAGTGGTAAAATACAAATTGCCTGCAAAATATAGATTGCTTGAAGAGTATAATAGAAGAACAAAAATTTGCAGTGATGAAACGACACATCGCCAAATACAATTACAATGACTAGAAGTGGAGGAACTCTCAGAACCACTGGCTATTATCTTTGATAATTTTTGGAAAATAGGAGAAGTGCCAGACGGCTGGAGAAGGGCTAACATTGTCCCCATCTTCAAAAAGGGAGAAAGAGATGAACCTGGGAGCTTTTTTTATTTTAAAAATCACTCTGCAAGCACTTTGAAGAAGGTGGAGTGATTAATAGAAGCCAGCATGGATTTATTAAGAATAAATCCTGCCAGACTAATTTTGTCTCCTTTTTGGACTGGGTAACTTCTCGAAAGGACAGAGGGGCATAATCTACCTTGACTTTAGCAAAGCGTTCGACATAGTGCTGCAAAACATTCTGATCAGAAAATGAGCGAAATGTGGACTAGATAGAAAAACTGTCCGGTGGAACCGAAATTGGCTGCTGCATCGGACACAGAGTGCTCATCAACGGCACATGGAGAAAGAGGGGTGCTGCGGGGTTTATTCAGTCCTGGGCCCAGTGCTCTTGCACATCTTTATTAATGATTTAGATGAGGAAGCACAAGGAAAGAGAATCAGATCTGCAGGCAATGCGAACCTGGGTGGAATAGTGAACACCCTGGAAGAAAAGGAAGATGCAGGGCGATCTTGATCAGCTTGAACGCTGGGCTGAAAGCAACAGGAGGAGATTCAAGAGGGACGAGTGCCAAGTCCTCCACCTGGGAAAGAGAAACCAAAGGCATCCATACAGAATGGGGAGTACGTGGCTCAACAGAACAGAAAAAGAGAAGGATGTTGGACTTACTGTGGGCAACAGGCTAAATATGAGCTGGCAATGCAGTGCAGTTGTAAAAAGGACACATGCTATTTTGGGAAGCATTGACAGAAATATTACTTCCAAATCATGAGAAGTAGTAGTTCCCCTATACTACTAGTCAGGCCTCATTGGAATACTGTGGCCAGTTCTGGGCACCAAGATTCAAGAAAGATGCAGATGAGGAGAGACTGAGAGAACTGGGCATGTTCAGCCTTGAGAAGAGAAGACTGAGGGGGGCATGATGTCCCTCTAGAAGTACCTCCAAGGCTGCCACAAAGAGGAAGGCCAAGACCTCTTCTTGGTGATAGCAGAGTGCAGGACACAGAATAAGCAGTTCAAGCTGCAACAGCCCAGATTCAGGCTGGACATCAGGAAGAGCTTCCTCACAGTCAGAGC